ATTCTTCCCTTTTTTTTTTTTTTTTTTTTTGCATTTGAAGAATAATATTCACTATTTATAATTAATTTGATGTAATATCTTCATAATTTAGGTATTTCCATAATTGTGTTTAAGTTTTTCTTATACCTCTTTAGTTATTTTAACTTGTTTAGCTTTATTTTTTAAAATAAGAGATAAAAATAATTAACATGACACTTTATCTTTTTTATTTTACAATTTGTTTCCTTAAAATTTCCTATTTAATTGATCATTAACGCAATTTAATTGTTTTCCTTTTCATTCATTAGTCATAAAATATTTTTCTCCACCGTAGATTCATTTGCTATTAAGATCAATATCAAGAAATTATTTACTTAATTAAACAATCAAACACGAGAAAATCCAAACGGATTTGCTTTAAATAAAGGAGATAAACTTTAATGTTTTTGATGCAGATAATAAAGAATATTAATTATTGTTATCTGATTTTATTGAATGCCTACTACGACTACTACTTTTTTTTCCCGAAAAAGTCTAGGTCATATTATCATAATAAAATACTCGCTCCGTTCAATTTTTAATTGTTCTAACATTTTAAAAATATCTTTCTTTTTAAATTTGTTTTTACATGTCATTATGAACATAATAAGATTTTTTTTCTATTTTATCTTTTACATTAATTATTTATTCCCCAAGACATTTTCAAGACTTAAAGACTATACACATTAATTAATATAAGTATTATGATAAAAAAAATCATATTAATCATTATTTTTTGAGAAACTGAATAAATAAAAATGTACTGAGGGAATATTTATACTAAAATACCAAAATTTATGGGTCAAAGGTGATTTAGTTAATTTGCACTAAAATACCAAAGGAGTATTCAAGTTTCACATCATGCTTTCACACGTATATAGGTAGGCCTGATCTATGATGTAAGCTTATTCTAGTTTCAAGAACTGAAAAAAATAATATTAAATATAGTATACATGGACAATGATTTTAAAAAAAAATAAAAAAATCATAATTTAACTTGATATAACATATTCTTATTCTACTTTTCAGGCGATTATATATAGTTTTTTCATTTCATAATGAACTGTTATTTTAGTTTATTTTATGTCTATTAATTAAAAAACTATACACATAGGGTTTTGTTCGATACGAAAGAAAATATTTTTCAAAAATTGTGTTTCTATTTTTTATGTTCGATTGGTTAAAAATTTTAAAAATATTTTCTTTAAAAAAACAAACTCTATAAATGACTTAATAAAAGTAGGAAAAATAAGTGACATTGTTTTCTCCCACCCCACCCCCACATCCACCAATTCTTATAATTTTGTGTTAGATATGTACGAATATTTTTAACATTATATTTATTGCTTATATACCGTATACAAAAAAGAAGAAGTAAAAGGTCATTGATTTTTAAAAAATAATTTTTTTGAAAACCTCCATATCGAACACACTTAAGATATAGTTTATTAAGTCATTCCTATTTATTAGATGTTTCTTGAGAATTAAATACTATTAAAAAGAAATAATTTTTTAATATAAGGATATAACTGAAAATGACTACTATTTTTATCTTAAATTTCTAAACTGACTTGCTATGAAAAATAATCTATTTGCTATATGTCAACTAATAACATGTTTGATCAAATTTTTAAAATTTATTTTTTCAAAAGGATTTTTATCATAAGTATTTACTTTTAAAAAAATAATTCTAAAGAATAGCAATTTGTTTCTCCAAATCTCTAAAATAAGCATTTTTTTCAATTGACTTTCTTAAAATATGATTAATCACAATATTTATCTTATCATGTATACAATATCAAAACACATAACTCAAAAGTCTCAAACTCATAAAAAAGGAAACTTTTTTTATTTTTTATTTTTTAGAAAAAACAACATGACACCTATAAATATCCATCCTTTTCATTTTCATTTAATAAGCCCCTCATCAATATTCTCTCCCATGGCTTCTTCTTTCTCCAATTATTTCAAAATTTTATTATCAATTCTATTTTTCATAATTTTCTTCACTTCTCATTCTTTTTCTTCTTCAAATTATTCTTTATCAAATATAGTTATAAATTCAACTTCTGAATTTATTAACCATACTGCCATATCCGAATTCCGAATACTGAACCGAAGAATTCTATCCAAATGCCCCGACCCGAACCCGTATTTAAGTATAACTACTGCCTCAAATTCAAGCCTTTCTGATGAATCTTTTGTTACTGTTCATGTTTCTGGAGTTTTGGTTCCTTCAAAAGGAGATTGGGTTGGCATGATCTCACCTTCGTATTCTGAGTAAGTTTAATTTATATACACTGACAGTTTAAATATATATTTTTAAATGATATAATATATGATCAGAAGTTGATTCAGAATTTAAGTTTTGACTATTTATTTCAATTTTTGTGAATTTTTTTACATGTAAATTTTATCGATTATGAGTTTTACTATTTGTTTCAATTTTTATGAATTTTTACATGTAAATTTTATCGATTATGAGTTTTACTATTTATTTCAATTTTCATGAATTTTTACATGTAAATTTTATCGATATGCTATATCGGTAGTGACATAGTTGTTGTTTTTGTTAGTAGGTAATAACTAAGTAAAATAATTGTGTAAATATTTTTTATGTGATCAATAAATAGAATTTAAACTGAAAAATGAAAAGGATGTGATATTTTAACGATAGCAAATAGCGGTACACAAACCATCAACCCAAAAGAAAAATTATTCAATAGAATGTCTTTTTTTCTTCTTCTTATTTTGTTATTGAATATTTTCTCTTATTTATCCTCTATTTATCATGATTTTTTCCCAAAAATATCTTTAAAGTACAATGGAATTTGATTATTTGAGGTTAATAACCTTTTTTTCTTTTCCTTTATTGGTGGGTCCTTATTAAACCATTATCTACAAATTAGAAATATATCAGAAAATGATGAATACATGGTGGAAAAAGACATAACTTTTTCTTAAAGTATACTTAACCAAGTGGAATAGAAAGTATACTAATTATTTTGCTATTTTCAATTATTAATAAAAAGAAAAAAAAAGAACATAGTAAGCATGTGAATAATGAAGAAATGATACAATAATATTATCTTATTTTTTATTCATTTAAATATTTATTAACTTTAGGTTTTTTATTATAATATCTCATATTTCAGCACCTCAAGTTGCCCCTTTAATGCCTTACAATATCAACAGACTGGTGATTTCTCTGAACTTCCACTCCTTTGCCATTATCCAGTCAAGGTTAGTTTTCTTTATTCCCAACGATAAATCGTGTCTGCAGTTGTTTATAATTTTTTCTAATTTTTAGAAAATGAATTCTTCAAAAATGGAATGAGTTCGCAGTTAACATCACAAGAAAATTGTCACATCCGAAGTTACATATATAATATAGAATTTATCGTACTTTGATGATTATTTTAATAAAATAAATAACTCTTAAGCTAATTAAAAAAGTGTTATAGTATAACAGAAAACTAAAAGTCATGGCTATATATTCTTATAAAAAAAAATGCACGCAAGTGTGAGTATGTGTGTGGGCACAAGTAACTTGGTACGTCACATATATATTCTAACAAAAAAAAAAGTAACATAATTAATAAAATTATTTTTCAACTTTCAAGTGGTACCTTATTTGAATAATAATAAGAAATACTTATTGAAAATATAATAAGAGACTAGAAAAAAAGATTATCTGAGTCGGAGAAAAAAAGATTAAAATAAAAAGTAATGAATATTAATGTAGAGTTTCAGATTGATAATTAATCAAAATTTGGACGGATTATAATCTTATTGTATCTCTGATTACATTCATTATATATCTCTAAAAAAAGCGTCAATCTTCGTTAACATGTGAATTTTGAAATCTTGAAGATAAGATATGTCATTTGCTAACACAATTAGTATAAATAACCTAATCATGATATAAACTACTATATTGAAAATTTGAAATAAGTCATGCAATGCCACTTCCTCAACTAACTTTATATAATTTGAATTTCATTCAACTTTTTTTTTTAAAAAAAATCTATCACCCAAAGTTTCCACCTTTTAACTTCACTTAAAATTGAAAATCGAAAAATATTTATTATCCGAGTAAATTCCTCTGGTCCACTTTGTACACTTCATTCACATCAGTAGTGATGCCCCACTATTTAATTCTAACTGTTTCTTCCCATGTAATATGAACACTCGTATCTACCTATTTTCTTGACCACCGACTTGTTATACTCTTTTCGTCCACTTTTAATTATCATGTTGTATTTTTCAAAAGTTAATTTTCAAAGTTAAATTAGATTATAATATTTTGATATTTTAAACAAAAAATTAGATATTCAAAAACTATACAAAAAGTACTATAAATTGCAATTTTTTGCATATCAATATGATGAAAAAATACATCATAAAATGTTAGTCAGAGTTCTTATAGTTTGATTCTAAAAAAGAAAACCATGACAATTAAAAGTGGACAAAGGTAGTATCATATAATATTTTTACAGTAAGAAATTAATTATCTCATAGATTTTAAATGAAGCCACTTGTGAAAACGTCATTCATGAACTTGATGTCATGATTAATTATTTCGATTACCGCAATAAAATGAATGTTAACAACCTGTTGGATGAGTGAAAATGATACATGTTCAGAGGTTCAAAGCTCATGATAAGAAGAATTAGATTGTGGATACCATTGAAACAAATAATGTTGATGATAAAGTTGAAGATGATACATTACCTTTGGAATTAGTTACGCGTAAGGAAGCACTTATTGCATTTAGAACTCTCCACAATTTTATGGTGCAGTTCGAAAAGACAACACCAAAACTTTTGAATGTAATAAGAAAAGTTAGAAATGAGTTTCAACTATATTTAAATTTTAACAAAAAACAGAACATAATAGAGTCATATTTCACTAAATTGTCTTAGATATATTTATATTTTTAAAAAATTATTAATTTATAATATTAATAGGACCATATATTTATACAAGGATCTTCTGAAAATACATTATCTTATTATCTTATCGAAATGAGTGATTTTTTCTATTGGCCCAAATCAAAATCAGAAAAAAATATTATCTTAAAGAGGTTATTAATTAACCGAGTATTAATTTAATAAGATTTTACTCTTATTTCAATGAATCCTACCGTAATTTGCTAGCTGTGCCTAATTAGGGCCCGTTTGGCCATAGATTTCCCAAATAATATTTGAGGAAAAATTTGGCAAATAATGTTTATCCATACAATTTGCTATTATTTGGCAAATATTTTTGGCAAATATCCCAAATTCCCAAATACTAGTTTTTTCTAGTATTTGGGCCAAATCTCATTATTTGGGATCTTTTGAAAATTGAAATTTTACACCAAACTTTTATCTTTTACAAAAACACCCTCTATAGTAGTTGTTTGCGTTGTATTATATAATTTTTTACGTGAACACCAAAGTAGTGATGAAATATTCAGTGAATATGAAAGTGATGATATGGTTGTTGATGAAAATGATGAACAATCGGCTCAAAGTAACAAAGTCATGTGCTTTGTTTACTTCACGATGTATGAAATGATGCTTGTTGCACTCACTCCAAACTACCACATTGCTCTAGTGGCATGGAAACTACTTGTTATTTGTTGCAACGAAGATCCAATTGACTTGTAATACAAACTTATGGTTAGTTTTGATAGTTTTTAAAACTTATGGGTATAAATCATATTTTTCTAAAAGTGAAATATATTTCACAAATACTATGGACAAACACATGGTGAAATTTCACCCAAATTTTCACCCAAATAATATTTGCCAAGAATATTTGGAAATCTATGGCCAAACGCTAGCTAATTCGTCACATCTCACTGTCATCCCTACTCATATTATTGACAAGAAATAAAAAGGAAAATTCTGATAAAGATGTGGGAATGTACCTATTAATTGTAGTAGTATTAAATAATAGTAGTGTGAAGTGGTCACGCCTATATATATCCACCAAAAGCGCACCACATTGAAATAAGTCATGCAATACTGCCTCCTTAACTAACTTTATGGTAACTTCATTCACATTATATTACGAAGAATTAAAATCTCTTAGATGTTTATGAAATTTATAAAAATAAATAGAAGAAAGTAATTTTTTAATTTTTTTTTATGTTTAATAATAAAGATTTCTTATGTGTTAAAATAAGCATTTCTAGTAAAAAAGTGTAAAATTAAAAATAAATAAATTATAAATGATCTACAAAATAAATTTTTATTGCATCACTAAATTCGAAAAATAAATACAGATCATAGTTAGACCCCACATTTTATTTTTTCATATTGATTGGTTGAAACTTCAAAGCTTTCTAACTGTTTGCTTTCAGCATTCAACACTTTTGTGCCGATTTTTTATTTGGCACCGTCTAGCTATATTATATCATGTTCAAATTGACTTCTTTTTTTTCATGATTGATTTGGTAGACCTTATTTTTTTTGTGTAGAATAAATGTCTTAGATTTGTGATTCATGAAACATTACGTTACCAATGACAACATCCATTTGAGAATATCTAATATTAGATACTCATGGACGGAGCCACCTTGTAGTCAGGGGTTCATTCAAATCTCCTTTAACAAAAAAAATTTTACTTATACAATTTATATATGGTTAAAATATACTTTTTATGTATATGTAGTTAATGTCGAACTCCCTTCAGCTAGTTTATGTGTCTACTTCTTCAGATTTTGAACCCTCTTAATCAGAGTTGTGGTTCCGCCACTACAGCTACTGCTCCATTCATTTCAGTTTATATTTATATGATAATATTTGATTGAACGTGAAATTATTTATAAGAAAAATCTTTTGGCACATAGCTAGCAAAAGTACTCTTTAAGTACTTGTGATCTTAAACATGACCATCCAGTATAAATTGAAGCTAATTAAAACTTGATAAAATAATTTAATATGCGCAAGCTAATTAAACATAACGTGGTTTTAATCGAAGAAAGTATATGAAGCTCTCGTAATATCTGCATTTCCTTGACATTATATTGTTTTAATATCTGCATTAATTTCCTAGACATTATATTGTTTTAATTGGTAATAGTATATGATAAGATCTGCGTACATCTTACCCTCCTAGTCCAGATGATATTGATTATTATTATGAATGCATGCATGCAGGCACAATATTTAAGCAAAGATCCAGGCTATCTAAATTGCAAGAAGAAAGAATGCAAGAAACATGTAAAGGGAAGTTGTGAAGTGAGAACATGTAGTGCCTCACTTTCATTTCATGTTGTTAATTTTAGGACAGATATTGAGTTTGTGTTGTTTGCTGGTGGATTTGCAACTCCTTGTATCCTCAAAAGATCAAACAATAAATTGACTTTCACTAATCCTAAACAACCTTTATATGGACATCTCTCTAGCATTGACTCCACTGCAACATCTGTAAGTACATCTGTTTACGTGACACTATTTTCTTATTAGTCGTATAAATGTTATGAAATATTATATATAATAACATGTTTAAAGTCAGAAGTTTAAAAATAATTCTTCATTTGTTATTTAAATTGTATGACCAGTTAAATAGGTTCACGTGAATTGAAATGAAAGGAGCATGTATGAAGAATAAATAATGTGACTATAGGGAACTCTTATTTGTAAATGTTTCTTCATTTGATCGAGCATAATTAATGGATGAATTAATTCACTATTAATAGTATTCACTCTGTTTTTATTTATTTGTCAAATATTTCTTAATTGATTTCTTTTTTTACTTGTCATTTTTGACAAATCAAGTAAGGACAATTTTTTTTATCAATTATATCCTCAATTCATGGTTAATTTACTATACTAATTATTATTTTCTTGATAGGTGTGTCAAGTCAAAATTTGACAAGTAAAAAGGAACAGATGAAGTACCATTTAGAATAATAGTCTAACTAGAATAATTTATTTTTCTTATTTTAATTCCTTGGTTCCTGTTAATAACATATAACAACGTATAATTTCATAAATGGAGTCTGAGTTTCGTGTTAATTATACCATATTGACCATTAATTGTTTTTGCCCCTATATTTAGATGAGAGTAACATGGGTTAGTGGAGATAAAGCACCTCAACAACTACAATATGGAGAAGGAAAATCTCAAACATCACAAGTTTCTACCTTTACCCAAAAGGACATGTGCAGTAAGTTTTAATAAAACCATACTTAATTATAATATAACCATTTTAATAATCAAAATTAATTAAGATCATAACCATTTTGTTAATCTTTTTAATTAGGTTCTATCTTAAAAAGTCCAGCTAAGGACTTTGGATGGCATGATCCTGGCTTCATTCATTCAGCAATAATGACTGGCCTTAATCCTTCAACCACAAACTCCTATACATATGGAAGGTATATGCCATTAGGCAATATGTTACATATTATTAAGTCACGTTATTATCTTATCTGAAAGTTTAAATGATTCTATATTTTTATAACGACGATATGTTTTTTTTTTCTAATTACTCAACCACTATAGTGATTCAAGTGGTTGGAGTGAGAAGATTACCTTCAAAACACCACCAGCTGGTGGAACTGATGAGGTTAGATTTTTGGCATATGGTGATATGGGAAAAGCTCCTAGAGATCCTTCTGCAGAACATTATATTCAGGTAATTATAATTAAATGTTTAATTAATATTCTATTAAGTCCTTAATTAATTATGAGAGTGTTGGGTAAGAAGGAAAATATTTTTCTAGAAAAAAAAAGAGATTTTCTTACTTATTTTTTTGTTTGTGGTTTGTAATGAGAAAATATTGTCTCTAAGACATTTAAGTATTTCCTCTGTCCCATATTAACTGATCACCTTTCTAAAAATATTTGTCCTAAATTACTTGATCACTTATTAAATCAAGATAAAATTAATTAAATTTTTGTCATTTTAACCCTATAATTAATATTATCATCATGGTTAATGTGTTCCCATAATTTCTTTTTGGAAGCTTAAACAAAATTAAAGTTCCTAGAATTTATCTTTGAAATTCATTAAATACTTAATTACTCTTTTGTAATCTTGCTCTCACCGACTTTGGAGTACTTATACCTTTTGTTTGCCCTATGTCATAATAAATTATTTTGATATCCATCAATATGGATAAAGGGTAAATTAGTCAAATTGATCATTTATTTATGATTTCTTAAGTACGTACCGTATAAAATGGAAAGTGATTAGTTATTATGGGATGGGTGGGAGTATAATCTAGGCAAATATTATGACCTCGAACCCAGACCCATCTCCCGACCCTGGCCTGACTCGGGATACGACATTGACCCAACCCCACTCCCAAATCTTGAGACCCAACCCTGTATAACTTGGTTGAGTCTCGAGTTGGAGATTTGGTCCCATGTCGATTCAAGGTCAGGTCCCATGTCGGTTTGTGGTTGGGGTTGGGTCACAAGTCAGATGGTGAGGTTGAAAGAGAGTTTAAAAAACGTTTCTCTACTTTTGGTAAAGAAGTCATTTTCCTTATATTGAAGCAATATAATAACTTCATTATGAAAAATAATTTCCAATGTCAACTAAACATGATAAAATTCAAAAAATATTTTTCAGAAAATGTTTTCCTCCATACCGGTCACACATATATCATTTAACACTTACAATTTTGATTCAAATTAATTAATTATTGTGCATATATATTATATGTGTATTTAGCCAGGATCATTATCAGTGGTGAAGGCTATGGTTGATGAAGTATCATCTGGGAATGTTGATTCTGTATTCCACATTGGTGATATAAGTTATGCCACTGGATTTCTAGTAGAATGGGATTATTTTCTTCATCTAATCACTCCAATTGCCTCTCGTGTTTCATACATGACCGCTATCGGAAATCATGAAAGGTATATTCTGTTACGTATTGAAATTAATTTTACGTATGATCACTGAATATAAATACCTATTAGGTATAACTTGAGAATCACCTCAAGTTTTTAATTCAGTCTGTTAACGAAAAAGGTAAATATACACTTTTTGTTAGATAATGAGGTTTTATATATACGTCCTAAATCACAAAGTTAAAAGGCGTATAATTTTGAATTTTTTTTAATGTGAAAAAAATATATATTCAGGGATTATATAGGTACAGGATCAGTATATGCAACACCAGATTCAGGTGGAGAATGTGGTGTGCCTTATGAAACTTATTTTCAAATGCCAACACAAGCTAAAGATAAGCCATGGTACTCTATTGAACAAGGAAGTGTTCACTTCACTGTTATTTCAACTGAACATGATTGGTCTCAAAACTCAGAGCAGGTATATAAGTCGATTTCTTAGTATGTATACATAGTCTGGATAAAAATTATTGAGTTCACGTAATCTGTATTAATTTGATCAAACAGTATGAATGGATGAAGAATGACATGGCTTCAGTTGATCGAACAAGAACACCTTGGTTAATTTTTACAGGGTAAGTAAATCATACACCTTTTATTTTTACTAAATTAACATGTTTGTTATTGCGTCAATTTCAGACAAGTTGAGATCGACTATATAAGTGAAATAGTGGAAGGACTAGATGAGAAAATGTTACAACAATTTTGAAATAATATAAATTACATAGTACTACTATTTATTTTTCCCTTCTTTTTTAATAATAATAATAATCATATGTTTGATTTCTTCATAGGCATCGACCCATGTATTCTTCTGTCACTGGTGGAATTCTTCAAAATGTTGATGATGATTTTGTCAAAGCTGTTGAGCCATTACTATTGGCAAACAAGGTAAGCTCTAATTACTTTATATGGATTGGAGAGTTATATACACTATCATGATTGGGTCGATCAAGCCAGATCACGTGTACAACAACAACAATATATATACCTAGTAAAATCCCACTCAGTGGGGTCGGGGAGGATACATAGAGTGTACATAGACCTTACCACTACCTTGTTGAGGTAGAATGACTGTTTCCAAAAGACCCTCGACTCAAGTGCATCAAATCAAGTAAAAGAAGAAGAAAATGAGGAAAACATAAATAATAAGAAAAAGGAAAAACTACTAAATTAGACATACATCACAATCATATATACTAATTTTACCTCTAGTTTCAAACAATTACTTCTATTACCACTTTTAATATTTTATACCATATATTTTTAAAAATACAATAAGATATACAAATCCCTTAAAAATGGGATTGATTAAGTATCTTTATATTTAAACACCTAAATTAATGGTGAATTAACATAAAAAAAATTCTCTCTCATCAACCATTTCTCTCTTCCAAAAAAAATTCCCACTATTCATCAATGTCTATCAGCCCCACACGTCCTCCACTGCTTCAACCATCTTTTCTTCTTTCTTTCTCTCAAATTACGTTTTAATAGCAAATTATCAAAATTGAATATTGGCATTCAAAATTATAGGTAGAAATTTGTAACTTTGTATCAGTATTCTCATGTATTTAGAATAAAGTTCTCCCTTTTCATATATCTATGATAGAGCTCATATCGTTTTAAATTTCAATTTTAAATTTTTTTATGAAGTAGGTCCTACATAGTATGATCTTGTTGCTATTTATTCTGTCATTGGTGACCATTTCCAAAATTGAATGATTCTCAGTAAATGTACAACACATTAACATTAATATACAATATGTTTATGAGATATGAACTTTATAGTTTTGTTTTCACTCAAGATTTTTTCATTGCATGGTTGAATCTCCATCCGCTAACATTCAAGCTAAGAATAGATCTAAGCATGAAAATGACTCAATATAAATGAAAGAACTATGCGAAGCTCTACTTACCAAAACAAATACATCACTAACCCCAGTTACACATCTAGTGCAAGATGTTGTATCTAACACATCTTCTTAAGGATACAAACCCAGAAAATTAATAAAACATGTATCTTGATCTTTTTTACCCGTCAGATACACGTAGC